CCCCCATCCCCAGCTCACAAGTTCTTCCACCTGGACCACCACACTGGGACTTGAACCCTCTGCCTCGAGGCTTGACTTGTCCCCTTCCCCTACACTGGTTGCAGATTTCATGGCACTGATCATATCCTTCTCTTCCATGTCTCCTATAGATGAGAGCCCAGCCCCTCACGAGGTTTTCAAACCCCTCACTGCACTGCCTCAGGCACTCTTCTAGGACTGTCTTCTATTTCCCACCGAGGACAGGGGCCTTGCCAACCCCCTCGACTGCCCCACCTATGTGTCTTAGTTTATGCCCTTTCCCCCGCCTGAAACACCTTTCCCCTCACCAAGCTTCAAGGCCCGGTGAAATTGCTGCCTCCTCTTAGAAGTCTTCCAGCCTCACCCCAAACTGGGAATGAAATATTCCTTTTCTGAAACACTGTGGTGCTTCTTCCGTCTCATGTGTCCTCTGTCCACAAACATGCACACTCAGGTACATACACAAAGCACATATGCACACACCCTCACACACTTGTGTACACACATTTACATGTGCCATGCACACTCGTGCGATTACACACACATGCACACACACTCAGGTACATACACACAGCACACATGCACAGACCCTCACACACTTGTGCACACACATTTACACGTGCCATGCACACTCATGTGTGATTACACACACATGCACACTCGGGTACATACATCATGCATGCATGCACACCCTCACCATTAGGTCAACATGTCTTGATCCATTGTTGGCCAGCTCTGCCTTGAGCACAGGTTGGCTGGGGTGAACAGATGTGGCTGGGGCAGGACTGTCTCTGGAGGCTTTGCAGAAGAGAGACCCAAATCTCACAAAAGCTCTCCAGGCTGAGGATGTGCATATGCAGACCGGGCTGTGCACCTCGCTCACGTCACATTTGCCGAGTGACCAGGGCGGGGAACTGCTGAGGCCAGAAGGGTTAAAAACGCAGCTTGGATGCTGAGATGAGACGTTTGACCATCATCCAGCTGACCGCGGGAGCCAGTGGTCATCAGGAGGCAGCGTGTGGAGGCGGCATGAATGGAGAATTGACTTTCTGTATCTCTGCCTTCCCCGGACACCAGGCTGTGCAAAATAAGGCTCCAATCTCCGCGCTGCAGATCCAGCCTGCGTTGAGCTGAATTGGCCCATGTGGGTGGGGGGTGGATGGATGGCTGGATGGGTGGATGGACACGTGGGGGCAGGCAAGGACACGCTGTCTATTTCGTACCACTGCATGCGGGCCTCCGCCCTGCTCACGTGTGCTGGCTTGAATGTTGTTTTGTTTCTATTTGTTTTGGGAACAGATGAGGGAACAGGGGCTCAGTGAGGCAAGATGGCTTGTCTGTCCCAAGAGCTCGGATTTTAGCCAAAACCTTCTGACCCCAAGTCTGCCCTGTGCCCTTGGTGTAGGGTGCAGATCAGGAGACCTGCAGCTGCGTGGCCAGATGGATGCATTCCCAGGAGTGGGGTCCACAGCCAGCCACTTCCGTCCTCCCTCCTGCCCAGGATAGAGGCAACTCACCTCGCACCCACTCCCAAGTATGCCCCAAAGCCTCTCTGCCCTGGCTGCTCCCAAGCCCCGCAGGAAGGACTCAGGAGGAGCAGGCCTGGGAGGAGGTGTAATGAGCAGTCCCTGCCCCTCAGAAGGGCCAAGCTCACACCACCCCCAACCCCTGCAGGCACCCGGCACCACCCAGAAGTCTCTGACCTACCTACACCCGAGCCAGATGGGCCTGCCCCATGCCAGCCGGCCAGCCACAGCCTGGGCCAAGCGGGAGGAGGGACGGCTTCCGGACAGAGCCCAGGCAGCCAGACCCATGTCCGCAGGCTGTTGGCAGGGCACAGAGAGGGGAGGCAGAGCTCCACCAGCTGCAGCTTCAGCCCCGCAACACCGGAGCTCTCTGCTCAGGATGGGTCTGGGGAGCCACAGCTGGAGCTGGTGGGAGGCATGACCCTCAGTTCCAGGGGTCCCTTTCCTTTGTTGCTTCTACACACACACACACACGCATGCATGTGTGCACGCAGGAATATACACTCACCACACACGCACACATGCTCTCACACACTTGTACACACATTTATATGTGCCATGCACACTCACGTGTGATTACACACACATGCACACTCAGGTGCATACACACATCACACATGCACACACACTCTCACACACTTGTACACACACATTTACATGCACCACACACGTGTGATTACAAACATGCACACTGAGGTACATACACAAAGCACATATGCACACATCCTCACGCACATGTGTATACACATTTACACGTGCCATGCACACTCGTGCGATTACACACACATGCACACACACTCAGGTACATACACACAGCACACATGCACACACCCTCACATACTTGTGTGCACACATTTACACGTGCCATGCACACTCACGTGTGATTACACACACATGCACACTCATGTACACATATCATGCATGCACGCACACCCTCACACACTTGTGCACATACATTTACACGTGCCATGCACACACGTGTGATTACACACGTGCACACTCAACTACATACAGACAGCACATATGCACACACCCTCACACACTTGTGTACACACATTTACACGTGCCATGCACACTCATGTGATTACACACACATGGACACACAGGTACATACAGCACACATGCACACATCCTCACACACTTGTGCACACACATTTACACATGCCATGCACACTCACGTGTGATTACACACACATGCACACACTCAGGAACACACATTACACATGAACATACCCTTGCACATTGTGCACACACATTTACACACACCATGCACACACATGCGATTACACACACAGGTACATACACACCACATATGCACACACGCCCTCACACACTTGGGCACACACATTTACACACACCATGTGCACCCACATGATTACACACACATGCACACATATGCATGCACGTGTGCACACACACAAATACACTCATGCCTACACACATACACATGCACACACAC